TTACACTAAAGAACAAGTATAACAGTGACAGCTAGATCCTGGCTCTTCTGTCATCTGACTCCCTGTTCAAATCAAATCAAATTGTATTTGTAACACATACACGTGTTTAGCAGATGTTATTGCGGGTGTAGCGAAATGCTTGTGCTTCTAGCTCCGACAGTGCAGTAATATCTAACAGGTAATATCTAACAATTTCACAAAATATACACACAAATCTAGTATGGAATGGAATTTAAGAATATATACATATATGGACAAGCAATGACAGAGCGGCATGGACAGAATATTCCTGTTTGTTTGTTCAGAGATTTCTAATTGGCACGAGAGATACAATTAGCTCCAAGGTTATATCAGCAGGACTGCATAGACTCCAGGGGTTAACAGGATATATTATCCTCCTTTGCAAACAATTTGTGGATTTCTTTCCACCCCTTAATCATCAGACACACAATGTAGCCAGACTCTCTGTAACATATCTGTGAAAAACATTATTATATGTCTGGGCAAGATTTAAGAAGTTGTCCCGCACCGTTGGAGACCCACACAGACCCAAGAATCACCTCATCACTGAGGGAGGAAATTAGTAGGAATGGTCTGTACTCTGTAGAGACTTGGCTAGCATCATTGCTCCTGGAATGGGTATGGTTTCAGCTATAAGAGAAGAAGAAATAAGGCAGTGATTTCTGCCAAGTACTGTATATTACTCTAGAAGATGTATTTTGTCTGCTTCCTAAATTCTACATTTTTACACAAATCATAAAGCTGTGTCTACAGTCACAGTGCATCATTTAGAAGGTGCAAAGACTGTATCAACAACACAGTAACATCTGTACGTACCACACCCAGGAACTCACCATAAACAAGCAACTTTTCATTAAATCATCCCAGATATTCATGTCCATGGTCAGACTGGGTTAAATGAAAGGATACTAAAGCACAGTGTGCCATTTCGTTTAAATTGACTCAGACCAGGCCACAACCCTAGTTCATATCACAGAACTTTAGATATTCATCAGATATAGCAATAACTATGCTGTGCTGGTTGGATAAAGACAATTGTGTGACAATACATGTGTGACACTCTGCTACTCCCTGTGGTAGGCTTGCCTCCTTGTCAGATTTAGGAAGAAACTGACTTTAAAACCACACCCCCCCCAGTCAGCCTTTCATGACATACTTCCTTTGTCTGACATTTGATGATTTCCCCTCAGAACATAATGAAAAACGCAATAAACTAATCATGGCACACAGGAGGAAACAATGATAATATAACAATAATAAAACAACAGACAGTCCCCAAAAATATTATTTTCCGCTGGTATTTTATTTCTCAGATCAAAGAATGCATGAGGAGTAGATGGCAATCGGAATGTGTTGTTTCCATGGTTGTGTTTTTATGAGCTCTTTCAACATTACATCAGAAACACAGTATGTGAGCATGATGCATAGATACATGTTCCCAATGGCTAAACTATTTATTTCACCCGTTTCTCTCACTCCCACACCTCCACTGCATACTTTTTGTATTAATTAGTATTTCAGTATTTTATTGTTGTAGGAAGAAACAGCATTAAAATTTCCACCTGCACTGTTTTATTTAGAATGAGTTGTCAAAACACAGCCAATTAATCATCGTCTCACATCAAGTGATTTCCCGATTTAGATGAATGACAATTAACTGGCTAAATGTCTTGGTAAATGATCACAGTGCACCCTACAGACAGAGTTATGATGTGGGTGAAAAAACACCCCTATTTCTGATCATTTGTGCCTCAGACACTTCTGTGATTGAGTTCTGTAGAACGTTTGAAGCTTATAGTTAATAGAAAGTGATGGATGAAAGGTTAGTGTCAGGGGAATCTAAAGCAAATGTGTCATAGGAAAATGGTAAGAGATGGGGCCCCACAGTCCACACTAGTCAACAGATAGCATGCTCTAATTTACACAACAGTTCCCTCAAGTGGTTGCTTTAGGCCACTGCAGCATATATTATTGGGAATGACAATTTGACTGCCGCTCTAATCTGTGCTACAGATCTCCTAGGACCTAGCAGAATTAAATGAAGTCCCTCACAACATGCATTTAAAAACTACTTTTACTCAATTATCATTTGGGTACTAATACTGAAGAAATTCAGTTTTTGTTGTTAGACATTTCCTCTTTATAACAGCTTCTTTTTGACGAACACATTCCCAAAACCACCTTCAAAGAGGATGTGGCCTCTAGTCTGAGCTAATGCCTTTCCTATATCCATGGTTCAGAATACCAGCAGTGATGTCTTTGACAATATGGGGCGGTCAGTATGAGGGGAACTCACACATAAAATCAAAAAAATCAAAGTAAGCAACGACTGAAACAAGCAAGCTTTAAATCAAACTTCAAACTGTAGTCCAGTCTCTATGTTTATTTTACCTTTATTTAACTAGGCACGTCAGTTAAGAACAAATTCTTATTTACAATGACGGCCTACACCGGCCAAACCCGGACGATGCTGGGCCAATTGTGCGCCGCCCTATGGGACTCCCAATCACGGCCGGTTGTGATACAGCCTGGATCCGGTGGTCCTCTGTAGCTCAATTGGTAGAGCATGGCGCTTGTAACGCCAGGGAAGTGGGTTCAATCCCCGGGACCACCCATACGTAAAAATGTATGCACACATGACTGTAAGTCGCTTTGGATAAAAGCGTCTGCTAAATGGCATATTATTATTATTATTATTATTATTATTATCCGAACCAGGGGGTCTGTAGTGACGCCTCAAGCACTGAGATGCAGTGCCTTAGACCACTGCACCACTCGGGAGCCCAATGCTCACCTTTCGAATAAAATGTACAGCAGTTAAGGCCTAGATACAATCAGATCAAGTATAAACCCTCGATAGCCGACACCCGCATAGCTGATGTTTTGGCGGTGTGGTGACACTGATGGTTTCTCGGAACTGATGACTTCTACGGTTGTGGCTAGATTATAGTGGCAGGTTAGGAGAATTAGGTTTGAGGTTAGGAAAAGGGTTAGGGTTAAGCCAAGCTAAAATGCTGTACTCCATCTAGACACAACTGTAGAAGCCATCAGTTCCGAGAAGCCATCAGTGTCACCACAATGGGAGCCGCTTGTGGACTTGATGACAGCTCTTTAGGCTTACCTCTAACCTTTGCTCATAACACTACAGTTATCCATTTACCATTACTCCAAATCTACCATCTACAAATGGATTACAGGAGATGGGCACTTCATATCTAGCAGCATTTTAAAAGGGTTAGGCTTAGCTAAAATGCTGTACTCTAGCCAAAACCATAGAAGCCATCAGTTCCGAGAAACCATCAGTGTCACCACACCGGGAGCCGCTTGTCGATTTGACAGGTCTAACCCAGTTCCACCTCCGACACCGTCAAAACACCAGCTATGCGGGTGTCGGCTAGGGTCAATCAAATTGAATCGAGCCCTCAGTCATATAATAACGGTAATATTGTGTCTGTTTACTCAGCTCTTGGATTTCATTCAGCTCTTTAGGCTTTGTATAAGACTTTGTAGCTGTACCCTTGCCCCTGTACCTCTTACCTCTATCCCTTGCTCATAACCGTATAGGTTACTCCAAATCTACCATCTACAAATAGATTTCTAGTGCTGCATTAGCCACAAAGGGGTGACATTGTAATACAAATTGAACCTCTGCGCCCGTATTCATAAAGCGTCTCAGAGTAGGAGAGCTGATCTAGGATCAGGTTCCCCCTGTCCATGTAATCTGATATTCATTATGATTTAAAAGGCAAAACTGATCCTAGATCATTACTCATTACATGGTTCATGTTGTGCTCTCATTGCAGCCAGGTCACCCGTTATACAAGTCAGTATTTGACATCCATCTATGTCTAAGGACGTCGGGAGATGACGTGGAAACTGACCACTAGGGGCAACAGTGAGCACTGTTATGTTCAAGTAGGTTTCGGTTTTGCTAGGGGATGGTGGATGGGCGTAAGCATCTGCATCTGTTTCCATAGGTTGGAAGTTCAAATCCAGTGATTGACGTTTTTATTTAAGCCTATCACAAAACTTAAACCTTACGTTAACCATTCGGAGGTAATGCCTAACCTTAAGATTTCGGAGTTAATGCCTAAATTTAACCCTAACCTTAAGATTTCGGAGTTAATGCCTAAATTTAACCCTAACCTTAAAAATTCAGAGTTAATGCCTCAACTTAACTTCAAAATTTCACATTTGCAACAACTTCGAAATTTGACGTTTGAGAAACATGGATGAGCATCACATTCTGACGTGAGACAGTGAGAGCTAGTTGCTCACTGAATAGAATCAATAGAATAACTTTCATGTTCCAGCCACTACTACTTTATCACTGTTCATGCACATTGAAATAATGGGAATGATATTGAATTGGGTTATTTACATTGTGATACCACATGATAATGATATGGTCATTGGTAGATGCTTTTATCTAAAGCTACTTAAATTACAATTGCCAATGATACTTACATTCAGTATGTGGCACATGTGAGAATCAACTCCAACACCCTAGTGTTGCCAGCACCATTCTCTAACTGACATAGCCTGTTCAAACCTTGTACACCTATGGATATCCTTTATTGATAACTTGTAAGCCAGTTAGAAACCCTCCATAGATCATAATGTAGCGGTTCTACCAACCTGCCATTTGTTATTATTAGCCACATTTTTTTTTACAACTTTTTACCAATTGGTTGTGGAGATATTGACCAAAAGGAGGAAGACCCAGGAAATATAATTAGAACACTAACAAAACAATATGGTTCCTGCACCTGCTAGGACCCCTAATAAAATGTAACTCACATTAGGCTACATCATGTCAAGCAGTTTTTAATTACAAAATTAAATCCATCAGTATGACATATGTGTAGGCATATAGGCCTACAATATTTTAGTCGACGGAAGTATAAGACATGTTTTTTGCTGGTTGGTTAAGGGGTTGGATCTCTTGTCTTGGTTGGTCCTCACACTGGTATCGCTCCTCATTGCTGAGCAAGAGGGACTTGGACTGTGATCACCGGCTAGAAGAGAGAACTCACACACTCAATTAAGAGGTTATAACCGTCATGTTATAACAACATTCCATTTCTGATGATAATGCAGATGTTCTGTTTGGTATCTGGACAAATACAATATTTGAGTGATGTGAACAGGCCACTCAGCCCATTCTAGACACACCACAGGCATAGTATTGGTAGGCCTCCAACCAAACTTTGCATTTCAAGGTGATGTCTGTTCTAGGCAGGGATGGACTGGATGAGACCAGAAATTGGCGTGGGCATTTCTAAGTCACTGGACAATTTTATTCCCTTGTTGTCCTCATCATAAGCCAATCATGATAATTCTGCGCTAAAACCACAATTTAGACTGGCCTATTGGCCAATGGACCCGTCTGGCATTTGCCAAAACGGACTTATGGCCCTTTCTGATTCTAGAGGTTCCATTTCTACACTGACTCACCATTCGTGGTCCCGGGGAGCAGCAGTTGACCACCTTGCAGCAGTAGGCAGCCAGCGTGACAGAGATAGCGATGAGAGCAGTATGTATCAGGACCAACTCAGCAAAGTAATGTATAGCGGAATTCTGTTGACAAGAATTGGAGCATTGTGTACTTTCTTTAATGTTTTTTTCCTATTGTATGACATACACTACATGACCAAAATCGTCAAACATCTCATTCCAAAATCATGGGAATTAATATGGAGTTGGTCCCCCCTTTGCTGCTATAACAGCATCCACTCTTCTGGAAGGCTTTCCACTAGATGTTGGAACGTTGCTGCGGGGACTTGCTTCCATTCAGCCACAAGAGCATTAATGAGGTTGGGCACTGATGATGGGCGATTAGGCCTGAATTTGCAGTCGGCGTTCCAATTAATCCCAAAGGAGTTCGATGGGGTTGAGGTCAGGGCTCTGTGCAGGCCAGTCAAGTTCTTCCACACCGATCTCGACAAACCATTTCTGTATGGACCTTATTTTGTGCATGGGGGCATTATCTTGCTGACACAGAAAAGGGCCTTCCCCAAACTGTTGCCACAAAGTTGGAAGAACAGAATGGTATACAATGTAATTTTATGCTGTAGCGTTAAGATTTCCTTTCACTGGAACTAAGGGGCCTAGCCCGAACAATGAAAAACAGACATACCCCCATTATTCGTCCTCCACTCAACATTATAGTTGGCACTATGCATTGGGGACAGGTAGCATTCACCTGGCATCCACCAAACCCAGATTCGTCAGTCGGACTGCCAGATGGTGAAGCTTGCCACACTTAGGCTTGTGTGCAGTTGCTTGCCATGGAAACCCATTTCATGAAGCTCCCGATGAACAGTTATTGTGCTGACGTTGCTTCCAGAGGCAGTTTGGAACTCAGCAGTGAGTGTTGCAACCGAGGACAGACGATTTCTACCCACTACACGCTTCAGCACTTGGCGGTCCTGTTCTGTGAGATTGTGTGGCCTACCACGTCGCGGCTGAGCCGTTGTTGCTTCAACATGTTTCCACTTCACAATAACAGCACCTACAGTTGATGGGGAAGCTCAAACAGGGCACAAATTTGATGAACTGACTTGTTGGAAAGGTGGCATCCTGTGCTCTTCAGTAAGGCCATTCGACTACCAATGTTTGTCTATGGAGATTGCATGGCTGTGTGCTCGATTTTATACACCTGTCAGCAATGGGTGTGGCTGAAATAGCCGAATCCACTGTACTTTTATATATATTGTGTATTTGCCTCTACACATTTAATAAGTAATATTTGCATGTACCATTTGATAGGACTTTCTCAATCTCAGCCCACTTTAACATCTAATATAAGCATCACTGCTGCATTTACGTTGAATTATATCCAACACATACTGTAAATACTGTAAATACTCACATCAAATGAAAGGCAAGTTTTGTGGTAATCAGTGCGGTTGCCTAGACCATATTTCCAGCAGACATAATTGGGTCCTTCAGTGGCGGTTAGTGCCATTTAAGATGAGGGAGGACACATTTTTTTTCATGACCATGGCCGTATTTCTATTACAGAATATTAGACGACTCTCATTCATATTCCATTCACCCAGTTCAATGTAACAGCGATAGGTTTAGGCTACGACATGATACTCACATTTCCCCTATACCCATCATGAGGTTGCTACAAGCTAGCCTATAAATGAAAGTTTACAACGTAGGTGCACACAGGTCGAGAGACAATTCAATACCACCTTGCACACTCTTGCCTTGCATCTAGCTGATACAGGGTGTAATTATTAGTCCAACAGTTGCAAACGAGAGTTTCTATCGGACAAATTCAGATATGTTTATCCCCGTTTTGTTCCGTTTGCTTCCGTTTAAGGAACATTTTTCAACAGAACCAGCAGAATGAATACACCCCGATCACCCGTAAACAGAGTTCACTCTCATAACAGCCACGTTGCATTCCTTTCTCTTCCCTTCGCTTGTGGACTTCAATGCACAACCCATCAGCTGTATGTGACCACGTGAAAAAACCTTTCCAAGCCAAACTGCTACACACAGCTTACATCGTTGTCACCATATTAGCTAAAGTAACGTCATAGTCAGCATAGCTAATAGAACTAACGAGTTAGTAAACCCACTACAATCATGCAGTAACATTATTGTACAGTCAGTAAGCAGTTACACCGGCGGGCCCCGGTGGCAATAAATTACTAATATCGAAAGCTTACCTTGACTTGGAAGAGTTCCAGTGTTGTGTTGGAAAGTTCATAGCCACCTAGCTAACATAGCATCCCTCTGTTTGAGCAGGTTGTTTCAGTAGGCTAAACTAGCTAGCTTCATTTGCTAGCTAAGTAAGTGAAAATGAAAGTGAAAAATAAAACAATGAAATCTCTCTATTTCTCTCTTGCTTCTCCTTCATTTTGGAATAAATTAATTTGTTTAAAACTGTTCAACTATTGTCTTTCTCTCTCTTTGAGTCAACTACTCACCACATTTTATACAATGCGGTGCTAGCTAGCAGTAGTTTATGCTTTCAGTACTAGATTTATTCTCTGATCCTTTGATTGGTTGGATAACATGACAGTTCATGCTGCAAGAGCTCTGATAGGCTGGAGGACGTCCTCCGGAAGTTGTCATAATTACTGTGTAAGTCTGTGGAAGGGGGTGAGAACCATGAGCCTCCTAGGTTTTGTATTGCAGTCAATGTACCCAGAGGAGGACGGAAGCTAGCGGTCCTCCGGCTACACCATGGTGCTACACTACAGAGTGCTGTTGAGGCTACTGTAGACCTTCTTGTAAAATAGTGTGTTTTAATCAGTTATTTGGTGACGTGATTATATGTAGTATAGTTTTATCTAAAAAGGATAATTGTTATGAAATTCACTGAGGAGAATGGCCCTGCCCTTCCTCCTCTGAGGAGCCTCCACTGGGGTCCTTCCATGTTTGATACAGAGACTATCAAGTTGAACACTGACACTACACAGGCCACTACCTGCATCCCCAAACAGGCCTTCAGCTGAGACAAGAGGGAGGAGAGGAGAGGAGAGGAGAGGAGAGCAGAGCAGAGCAGAGGAGAGGAGAGGAGAGAAGAGGTGAGGAGAAGAAATGCCAATGGTACAGTATATCTCACTTGTTTTATCTTATTCATTCATAATGAATTCATCATTAACGTTTGCTTCATGCATGTGACAGACCAATACCTCACAAGGCTTCTCTAAGCTGAGACCTTGAAACTGAGATATATTTTGTTCTCAAAAGAAGGGTCAGGGCGTACTGCCAAATTGCAGTTACTGATAGTGAGGGTTTGTTCAATCAGTCACTTGCATGAACACAGAAAACGGATATTAGAAAAGCACAAACATAGAACACAGAAATTGGTAAATAGAAAGCACCAACGTAACATTTACCATTTTCCATCACATTCCATCCTCTTATCACTTGTGTGATAATAATCATTACATTTTAATGTAAGCATTTAGATTTTAGCTTCTACATCAAAATATTCTATGCTCCTATTTGAGTAAGGGAAATCAACACAGAAGAAAACTAAACACTTCATCATTTCAAACCCTTTATTCTGGGTTGTACAATCTAATTTGTATGGTAATACTATCATCATAATAAAGGATATACTTCTATTAATGGGAGTGAATTCATGAAAAATACACACACATACACACCATGTTGAATAACACAATTTTGACGAACTAAGAAAAAAACACACGCTGCAGCCCATTTGGCAATTTGGGATCCCCAACTTCCAAACAGGGATTCCAACCAAGTTGCAGGCATCCACTCTGGTTGTGGGGAATTATTCTTAACAACAGTGGCAATGTATTCAGCGAGATCAGTCATATTAGAAGAGTGATCTGGGACAAAAGTACAACATTCATCGCCAATGATTGCACAAGTGCCCCCTTGACCTGCCAAAAGATAGTCATGAGCCTCTCTTTTTTGCAGAGCCAATTTACACCATTTTTTTAGCATTGCCAATTTTCTCTACGTCTATAGATATCTCCTGAATTTGGTCTAGGGCACATGCATATTGACTTTCACAGGGAAGAGAGAGAACACATGTTATAACAGTTTCACACCAACCTTGATAAGAATGAGATTGGGCCAAGGTTAGCCCAAGCTACAATCTAGTGACAATTTAGGGGCATAGCTCTGTTTCTAGAAGCCTCGCCTTTCCAAATCATAATTATAACTATTGATAAATTATCCAACCCAAATTTAGAATGACAGTCCTTAGTGCTTCACGTTGGTTCTATCACTTTAATTTAAGACCTTCAACTTAGCACACACTGATACTGGCAGAATGTACATTTACATTGACTTACAGTATATTCATCTCATATTTCTAGCATTCACTTTTCTCATCACTTGACAGATTGGTATCTCAATACATTTTTTGTCTAAATTACTATACATTTTACTGTGTGCAGACCTCCGCAATCAACATGATACCCCAAATAAACAATTTTGGATAAGCCTAAATCAATTACGGGCACGGTAGACCACCCCCCTCCCTCCCGGGCACTCATCCTTCTGGCATTTCTTCATGTTCTTCTTCAGATAGTGTTTCAGTTTGTCCTCCCAATGGCACATGTTCAAAGTGGATGGCCCTTGATAATGTCTCTCACCTGAACCGCCACTGTCCTTTACAGTCCATTATGTCTTGTCCATTTTCCTACCAGTACACAAGCAAGTTTGTACGGGATCTCTCTCCATGCTCACTCCATGTGGACTCATGTTGCAGTCTGAGAGAAACGGCATGAGAGAAAAAGCAGTTGATAGCTTCGACTGGATGATGTGTACAGGTTGCTGGCTTGGACTCAGGTCTCAGGGTAGAAGTGGAGAAGGACCATATTGAACGCCATTGTCGCCATTGCTTCACACTGTTCTTGGTCACATTATCCCTTCCATGCATCTAGATACCATCTGTGGTCACCTTCGCCATAACCTCAAGAGAGGACAGACCAGAACAACTGTTTAGTTTAGGGCATTTCTGATTCAGGAAATCTAGACAAATGATTTACTGTATGACAAATTATTACTACTACCTGATTCAGGAAATCCAGACAAATTCTTAAATCCATTTGTAGTAACTGTCAACAATTACCAACATATATTTATTCCTTTTATGTGAATAATAACATTTGCATATTTAGTACCCCAGGGGACTGGTAATTCCCCCTTTGGACACATGACTCACATCGTGATTAATGCATCCAAAAAAACAACAACACTGCCTGTTAAATAAAAAATAAACAAATTAGAAAAACAAATCAAATTAGAGTTACAACTCTTGATAACTCCATAAGGAAATAATTGTTTCCCATAAGGTAATGGTAAAATAGACTAGAGATAGGTGTCCCTCATTCAGGGGCAGCGCTCTCTCTCTGTCCTTCTCGTGGTCCGAAACATAGGACTATTGATAAATTATAAACTTCTTCTTAATTATTTGTGTTTACATAGCCCAGTTAAATCTCACCCAATGTCTCCAATCTTTCTAGTGAGGGTGATCAGGCCTTATTTTTAAGATATTTAAAACATTTAAAACATTTTGTGTATCAGGTTTACATTGGGTTTTTCAGTACATTTCTTGTCAAGAGAATGTACATGTGTGCAACCAAAACTCTGACAATAGAAACTTCAGAAAATGTCATTTGTGTACAGCATCCTTTCTAACCTGTGAAAAACCCACTAAAACAAAAATAAAAAGACCCCACACAATACATCAAACAGAGTATTAACCACTAACAAATATTAATTAACAGGTGGGTTGTGTGTGGGTGCTGGCATGTACAGTGGGGAAAAAAAGTATTTAGTTAGCCAACAATTGTGCAAGTTCTCCCACTTAAAAAGATGAGAGAGGCCTGTAATTTTCATCATAGGTACACGTCAACTATGTGTCACGTTCGTCGGGAACAGAGGACCAAGGCGCAGCGTTGCAGGCAAACATACTCTTTAATTAGAGACACGATCAAAACAACAAACGATACGTGACAGTTCACGGTCTAACATAAACAGACTTGAAACAAGATCCCACAAACGGGAAACAGACAGTTTAAATATGGCTCCCAATCAGAGACAACCAACGACAGCTGACACTCGTTGCCTCTGATTGGGAGCCACTCAGGCCAACATAGAAATACACATACTAGATAAAAAAATGAAATGCACACCCTGGCTCAACATACAAGTGTCCCCAGAGCCAGGGCGTGACACTATGACAGACAAAATGAGGAAAAAAAATCCAGAAAATCACATTGTAGGATTTTTTATGAATTTATTTGCAAATTATGGTGGAAAATAAGTATTTGGTCAATAACAAAAGTTTCTCAATACTTTGTTATATACCATTTGTTGGCAATGACACAGGTCAAACGTTTTCTGTAAGTCTTCAAAAGGTTTTCACACACTGTTGCTGGTATTTTGGCCCATTCCGCCATGCAGATATCCTCTAGAGCAGTGATGTTTTGGGGCTGTCGCTGGGCAACACAGACTTTCAACTCCCTCCAAAGATTTTCTATGGGGTTGAGATCTGGAGACTGGCTAGGCCACTCCAGGACCTTGAAATGCTTCTTACAAAGCCACTCCTTCGTTGCCCGGGCGGTGTGTTTGGGATCATTGTCATGCTGAAAGACCCAGCCACGTTTCATCTTCAATGCCCTTGCTGATGGAAGGAGGTTTTCACTCAAAATCTCACGATACATGGCCCCATTCATTCTTTCCTTTACACCATCAGTCGTCCTGGTCCCTTTGCAGAAAAACAGCCCCAAAGCATGATGTTTCCACCCCCATGCTTCACAGTAGGTATGGTGTTCTTTGGATGCAACTCAGCATTCTTTGTCCTCCAAACACGACGAGTTGAGTTTTTACCAAAAAGTTATATTTTGGTTTCATCTGACCATATGACATTCTCACAATCCTCTTCTGGATCATCCAAATGCACTCTAGCAAACTTCAGACAGGCCTGGACATGTACTGGCTTAAGCAGGGGGACACGTCTGGCACTGCAGGATTTGAGTCCCTGGCGGCGTAGTGTGTTACTGATGGTAGGCTTTGTTACTTTGGTCCCAGCTCTTTGCAGGTCATTCACTAGGTCCCCCCGTGTGGTTCTGGGATTTTTGCTCACCGTTCTTGTGATCATTTTGACCCCACGGGGTGAGATCTTGCGTGGAGCCCCAGATCGAGGGAGATTATCAGTGGTCTTGTATGTCTTCCATTTCCTAATAATTGCTCCCACAGTTGATTTCTTCAAACCAAGCTGCTTACCTATTGCAGATTCAGTCTTCCCAGCCTGGTGCAGGTCTACAATTTTGTTTCTGGTGTCCTTTGACAGCTCTTTGGTCTTGGCCATAGTGGAGTTTGGAGTGTGACTGTTTGAGGTTGTGGACAGGTGTCTTTTATACTGATAACAAGTTCAAACAGGTGCCATTAATACAGATAACGAGTGGAGGGCAGAGGAGCCTCTTAAAGAAGAAGTTACAGGTCTGTGAGAGTCAGAAATCTTGCTTGTTTGTAGGTGACCAAATACTTATTTTCCACCATAATTTGCAAATAAATTCATAAAAAATCCTACAATGTGATTTTCTGGATTTTCTTTTCTCAATTTGTCTGTCATTGTTGACGTGTACCTATGATGAAAATTACAGGCCTCTCTCATCTTTTTAAGTGGGAGAACTTGCACAATTGGTGGCTGACTAAATACTTTTTTTCCCCACTGTATGTAGTAGAAATCGTAGGGTAAAAACAAACAAAATGGCCAGGACTTACTTAATTTGGGAGTTCGACAGCTGGATCTGGGTACCTGTCACGAGAATTTTGTTATCTCAATGGTTGGAATCAAACACTTCTTAAATCTTTGAATAATTCCCAGAGGTGTAAATCTCTAGTTTAAATAAATTAAACAAAGACCCCTTTCTGCAATGATCAGCCTTTATTCATGAGAGCGCTCTGCCACAAAATGGACGTACCATATTTTTATACACACACGTCAGAGGAAAAATCTCACCCCGCTTTAGGCGGGCTGTACTTTTCCACTGTACACATCTTGTAAGCTCACACCTGGGTTTAGCTCATGTGATTATCCTCTGCTCTCCTGACCATCAGGTCACACATACACACACACACACACACACACACACACACACATACACACACACACACACACACACACACACACATGTTCTTATCATAGTCTACTCCTTGCTCGGGCAGGCTGCATTTTTTCTCTATTCCCAAACATAGTTATCGCTGTTCTCACAATATTCTGCAAGCCTTTTACACTCCCCCTCCCTGTGTTGGAACCGGTCTCCTGTTATTTCTTTCAATCGTTTTGCACTTCTGCTTGCCTAATTACAAGACACAAATACTCTGTTGCTGGGCAAATATGCATCTTATATAAACACATTTGATTAACTCTCTAAGCTCTAGTCTACTAATAGTCATACATTATTAGTTTAACTGAGGGTGTGACATTTTAGTCATATCTTACTCACACATTTCTTTATCAATCCACCCTTTGACTAAATTTCACACACAAATTTAAAATACATTCTTATAAAATGAAACACACAACAAGGCATACAACTTATTTTGCATATAAAATGAATCACTCGTATGAATCACACAATAAGAATACAATTTGTCTTGCATGCTATCAAATTTAACTCTCCTTGTTAGGATTTTCACTATAACTTTCATTGAAAAGATAGCATACTAAACATAAAAAATTGTCTCATTCAATTCAGGTTCATCAGGATTGAAATCTTCTGCATCCTCCACCAGAGCGGGAGGCATGTAGCGTTCATTCCATTGGTCTGAGTCGGGAATGGGCCCATACCTCAGCATCTGCTGGGTCACTGCTTTCTCCAGAGACCTGAACACAAGACTTCTCACACACAGAATTAACCAACATCCACATAACATCAACATGAACATCCCAGTCAGAGCCCCCCCTAATAAAGTTGCAACAATACAGTGGGGAAAAAAAGTATTTAGTCAGCCACCAATTGTGCAAGTTCTCCCACTTAAAAAGATGAGAGCGGCCTGTAATTTTCATCATAGGTACACGTCAACTATGACAGACAAAATGAGAAAAAAAAATCCAGATAATCACATTGTAGGATTTTTAATGAATTTATTTGCAAATTATGGTGGAAAATAAGTATTTGGTCAATAACAAAAGTTTCTCAATACTTTGTTATATACCCTTTGTTGGCAATGACACAGGTCAAAGGTTTTCTGTAAGTCTTCACAAGGTTTTCACACACTGTTGCTGGTATTTTGGCCCATTCCTCCATGCAGATCTCCTCTAGAGCAGTGATGTTTTGGGGCTGTCGCTGGGCAACACGGACTTTCAACTCCCTCCAAAGATTTTCTATGGGGTTGAGATCTGGAGACTAGCTAGGCCACTCCAGGACCTTGAAATGCTTCTTACGAAGCCACTCCTTCGTTGCCCGGGCGGTGTGTTTGGGATCATTGTCATGCTGAAAGACCCAGCCACGTTTCATCTTCAATGCCCTTGCTGATGGAAGGAGGTTTTCACTCAAAATCTCACGATACATGGCCCCATTCATTCTTTCCTTTACACGGATCAGTCGTCCTGGTCCCTTTGCAGAAAAACAGCCCCAAAGCATGATGTTTCCACCCCCATGCTTCACAGTAGGTATGGTGTTCTTTGGATGCAACTCAGCATTCTTTGTCCTCCAAACACGACGAGTTGAGTTTTTACCAAAAAGTTCTATTTTGGTTTCATCTGACCATATGACATTCTCCCAATCCTCTTCTGGATCATCCAAATGCACTCTAGCAAACTTCAGACGGGCCTGGACATGTACTGGCTTAAGCAGGGGGACACGTCTGGCACTGCAGGATTTGAGTCCCTGGCGGCGTAGTGTGTTACTGATGGTAGGCTTTATTACTTTGGTCCCAGCTCTCTGCAGGTCATTCACTAGGTCCCCCCGTGTGGTTCTGGGATTTTTGCTCACTGTTCTTGTGATCATTTTGACCCCACGGGGTAAGATCTTGCGTGGAGCCCCAGATCTAGGGAGATTATCAGTGGTCTTGTATGTCTTCCATTTCCTAATAATTGCTCCCACAGTTGATTTCTTCAAACCAAGCTGCTTACCTATTGCAGATTCAGTCTTCCCAGCCTGGTGCAGGTCTACAATTTTGTTTCTGGTGTCCTTTGACATCTCTTTTGTCTTGGCCATAGTGGAGTTTGGAGTGTGACTGTTTGAGGTTGTGGACAGGTGTCTTTTATACTGAAAGCAAGTTCAAACTGGTGCCATTAATACAGGTAATGAGTGGAGGACAGAGGAGCCTCTTAAAGAAGAAGTTAGAGGTATGTGAGAGCCAGAAATCTTGCTTGTTTGTAGGTGACCAAATACTTATTTTCCACCATAATTTGCAAATAAATTCATAAAAAATCCTACAATGTGTTTTTCTGGAAAAAAAATCTCAATTTGTCTGTCATAGTTGACGTGTACCTATGATGAAAATTACAGGCCTCTCTCATCTTTTTAAGTGGGAGAACTTGCACAATTGGTGGCTGACTAAATACTTTTTTCCCCCACTGTAAGACATTCGCTTCTCTAGGCGTCATAAACTACATCCCATTACCTCTGTTATCAACTAAAATTATAGGCACCTCTTATGAAACCCCCAATCTGTCATTGTTTAGAATACAGCAGATCTAGGCAACTGTCCTTTCTAAGTAGGCTACAAGTAATTCACACTCATAAAGACAGATTTATTCACTCTATGTGATTAAAATGACAAATAAATCCCACTACTATCACAATGGTTTGTCGTCTTACCATCTGATACAAAATGACGTTCCTTAATGGAAACCCTAAATTGGCTTTGTACAATATTATAACTTACGTCTTTAACCACATTACTTCTGGTCAGTTTATTCAGGAAACCCATATTAATTATGTCTCACTCATGACGTATGTCTACGTTTGGGTGAGCAAGTTAATATATAATTATTATTCCAATTATTATTTTATGAAATCTCTAGCCTCTCATTCAACACAAATCCCCTTCATCAAATATACTCCCAGCAGAACTGACAAAAAAAACACAGACTGTGATTTCCAGGACACTGCCCCTTTGTTCTGGCCTCCTATCTCCCCGAGTGTTGGCACTCCCTTCAGGTCTCTCTTACTCCTCTTTTCTCTCCCGTTCTGCTCTTGGTGAACGGCATACCTTTTAACCTCAGTGTTGCTGTGCCCCAGCCAATCAGGGTCTTTTTTTATTGTTTGAGAAATTTCAGGCCTCATTCCGCTTAAAAAGGCTATTTTTAATTGTTGATGATATGGTCCATCTGCTACCTGTTTGCGCTCATGGATTTTAGAAAAATCAGCATGTCTATGGTAGTAATCTCTGAGATTGTTACATAGTTGATTAAGTTTATCTCGATACTCTCCATCTACGGCCCATTGTAAAATAACTCTGTCCCCCCTTCCTGGGGTCCAGTCTCCCTTCACAGCTGCCCAATCCTTTCCTACCACTATCTGTCTCACTGCCCTTTCCAATTCCCCCGTGTTTAACTTAAACCTTGCAGTGAGCCCTTCCATATCTCTCCTGAATCCCTCTATTCCTGTTTTCGGGTGTACCACCCCTTCTACGGCTCGGACCACATCTCTCTGGGTCCATGCCCTGTATACATCTAAGGTTGCCGGGGATCCCTCAGCCCCTGCCAATGGATTGGGTAAGGCTATCATTGGGTACCGGCCCCCTCCTACTCCCTCATCTCCTGACTCATACTGACTCCCTCCTGAGCTCAGCTCTGAATCCTCCTGTTCTTCCCTCCTAACTGGACTTTGTTTGTGGGGTTCAAGTCTCCTCAGGGACCTGGGTCTTCCACCCTTCGGTCCCTTGACGCCCCTATTGTACCCTAGTACTCTAGTTACTTTCTGCAATTCCAATTGGGTTTGCTGCTGTTCCAAAAGTTTCTTAAGAACCTCAACTGTACTTTCTTCCTTTTCTTTATCCTCACCTCCTCCCTGTCCTCCCTCGGCTTCCCCTTGGTTCTGGTAAGGGGGTGGAGGCTCCAAAGCCAAGGAGGGGTATAATCTGGATCCAGACCGTTCTACAGGGGGAGCTGTGGGTTCTGTCTTAGACCTTCCTTTTTTACTTTCTCTTTAACTTCCTTTTTCTGTCTCTCACCCTCCTCTCTCTTTCGAGACTCAGAGAGCCACATCCTGGCCGTATCTAGCCCTTCCACTCGCTCTCTCTCTGCTCTGCCTTTACACACCTAGTGTATCTGTTTTACCATGGATTCGAGTTTGTCTGCATCCAGACGTCCCTCAAAACCATACCTCTCTTAAAATACTCAATTGTAGTAACCTTCTTTCTCACGCGACCTATCTTTGTCCCCTCCTTGAAGTTTTCACCCCCGTTTTCTATTTATCTAGAATACTGGCGCATTGGGTTTTCTCTAGATAAACTTCTAAAAACGCCGAAGTTCACTTCCCCCTTGTCCACTATTGAGATGGGGAATTATCTCAACACAAGATTAGTTTATTTTTGGTAATGGCCTCAACTACCTGGAGTCAATTTCGGACCCACACTCCGTTTTTGATCTTACACCCCTCCCCCCCCGTCTTATATTTATCTAGAATACTGGCGCATTGGGTTTTCTCTAGATAAACGTCTAAAAACGGGCTACCGGGATGTCGATCCCGTTTCGGATTATTGACGGAACCTCACTACAGCAAATTTAAACTATTAATTTTTACTGCAGGTTACAGATTCAATTCCCTCAAAAAACATGAATAAAGATTACTGACCTTATTCTTGCAGCTAGGACTCAATTTTGGTTAGATATCGTCACTGTTTCTGTCGTGAACCAGTTCACCACTGGCCTGATTTAACCCTCAATCTCAGAGGTCAGGTCTTTGTATATACGGATATATCATCCTCCCGTGCACAGTTTTTGGTGTCCCCCGGAATGACAGAAGATGGGTATTGATATCCGGCTCGAAGGACCAAGCTGTCACGAGAATTTTGTTATCTCAATGGTTGAAGTCAAACACTTCTTAAATCTTTGAATAATTCCCAGAGGTGTAAATCTATAGTTTAAATAAATTAAACAAAGACCCCTTTCTGCAATGGTCAGCCTTTATTCATGAGAGCGCTCTGCCACAAAATGGACGTACAATATTTTTATACACACACGTCAGAGGAAAAATCCCACCCCGCTTTAGGCGGGCTGTATTTTTCCACTGTACACATCTTGTAAGCTAACACCTGGTTTAGCTCATGTGATTATCCTCTGCTCTCCTGACCATCAGGTCACACATACACACACACACACACATACATACACAGACATACACACACACACACACACACACGTTCTTATCATAGTCTACTCCTTGCTCGGGCAGGCTGCATTTATTCTCTATTCCCATATATAGTTATCGCTGTTCTCACAATATTCTGCAAGCCTTTTTCACTCCCCCTCCCTGTGTGGGAACCGGTCTCCTGTTATTGGTTTCAATCGTTTTGCACTTCTGCTTGCCTAATTACAAGACACAAATACTCTGTTGCTGGGCAAATATGCATCTTATATAAACACATTTGATTAACTCTCTAAGCTCTAGTCTACTAATAGTCATACATTATTAGTTTAACTGAGGGTGTGACATTTTAGTCATATCTTACTCACACATTTCTTTATCAGTACCTTTAACTGCGTTCATGGAACGTCTGGGGGTCTCGGTCAGCCTGACTCTGGGTTTCTTCCCGAGAGTAATGGTTAGGTGGAACGGGTGAATCAGGATGTGGGTAGGTTCCTGCGGTCCTACTGCCAGGACCAGCCGGGGGAGTGGTCGGTGTTCTTGCCATGGGCCGAATATGCCCAGAACTCTCTCCGCCACTCCTCCACTAACCTATCGCCATTTCAATGTGTTTTAGGTTATCAGCCGGTTCTGGCACTGTGGCATCAGAGCCAGAGCGAAGCTCCTGCGGTGGATGGCTGGTTTCAGTGCACGGAGGAGACGTGGAACGCTGCTCACGTCCAACTTCGGCGCGCCGTGCTTCGCCAGAAGGCCAACGCTGACCGCCACCGCAGTGAGGCCTGGTGATCGTGTCTGGCTCTCGACCCGGAATCTGCCCCTCCGCCTGCCCTGCCGGAAGCTGAGCCCGCGGTTTGTGGGGCCGTTTAAAGTCCTGAGGAGGATAAACGAGGTTACATATAGGTTATTACTCTCTCCAGATTACTGTATTAACCCCTCGTTCCATGTGTCTCTCCTCAGGCCGGTGGTTACTGGTCCGCTCCAGGAGTCTGAGTTGCGGGAGGTTCCTCCGCCCCCTCTGGACATCGAGGGGGCCCCGGCGTACTCCGTTCGTTCCATGCTGGATTCCAGGCGTTGGGTGGGGGGCCTTCAGTACCTCTTGGAGTTGGAGGGGTACAGTCCGGAGGAGCGGTGCTGGGTCCCGGAGAGGGATATCCTTGATCCCTCCCTGTTGCGGGATTTCCACCGTCACCATCCGGCTTGCCCTGCTCTGCGTCCTCCTGGCCGTCCCCGAGGTTGGTGTCGGTGCGCTGCTGCGTGTCAAGGGGGGGGGGGGGCACTGTCAAGACTTCCTCCGAAGCTGCCTCCTCTCCTTGTTCGGGCAGGCTTCGGTGTTCATTGTCACTGGCCTTATAAACACTGCCGCTCCTCATCTCATCATTCCATTTGTTTTGTCTTGTTTATTACACACACCTGGTTCATATCCCCTCATCAGTACGTGGATTCTTCAGATAGCATTGAGGAGTACACCACATCAGTCACTGGCTTCATCAATAAGTGCATCGATGATGTCGTCCCCACAGTGACCGTACATACATACCCCAACCAGAAGCCAATGATTACAGGAAACATCCGCACTGAGCTAAAGCGTAGAGCTGCCGCTTTCAAGGAGTGGGACTCTAACCCGGACGCTTATAAGAAATCCCGCTATGCCCTCCGACGAACCATCAAACAGGCAAAGAGTCAATACAGGATTAAGATTGAATCGTACTACACCGGCTCTGACACTCGTCGGATGTGGCAGGGCTTGAAAACTATTAGAGACTACAAAGGGAAGCACAGCCGCGAGCTGCCCAGTGACACAAGACTTCCAGACGAGCTAAACCACTTCTATGCTCGCTTCGAGGCAAGCAACACTGAAGCATGCATGAGAGCACCAGCTGTTCCGGATGACTATGTGATCACGCTCTCCGTAGCCGATGTGAGTAAGACTTTTAAGCAGGTCAACATTCACAAGGCCACAGGGCCAGACGGATTACCAGGACGTGTACTCCGAGCATGCGCTGACCAACTGGCAAGTGTCTTCACTGACATTTTCAACATGTCCCTGACTGAGTCTGTAATACCAACATGTTTCAAGCAGACCACAATAGTCCCCGTGCCCAAGGACTCTAAGATAACCTGCCTAAATGACTACCGACCCGTAGCACTGACGTCTGTAGCCATGAAGTGCTTTGAAAGGCTGGTCATGGCTCACATCAACACCATTTTCCCAGAAACCCTAGACCCACTCAAATTTGCATACCGCCCCAACAGATCCACAGATGATGCAATCTCTATTGCACTCCACACTGCCCTTTCCCACCTGGACAAGAGGAACACCTACGTGAGAATGCTATTCATTGACTACAGCTCAGCATTCAACACCATAGTGCCCTCAAAGCTCATCACTAAGCTAAGGATCCTGGGACTAAACACCTCCCTCTTCAACTGGATCCTGGACTTCCTGACGGGCCGCCCCCAGGTGGTAAGGGTAGGTAACAACACATCTGCCACACTGATCCTCAACACGGGGGCCCCTCAGGGGTGCGTGCTCAGTCCCCTCCTGTACTCCCTGTTCACCCATGACTGCATGGCCAGGCATGACTCCAACACCATCATTAAGTTTGCCGACGACACAACAGTGGTAGGCCTGATCACCGACAACGACGAGACAGCCTATAGGGAGGAGGTCAGAGACCTGGCCATGTGGTGCCAGGATAACAACCTCTCCCTCAACGTGACCAAGACAAATGAGATGATTGTGGACTACAGGAAAAAAAAGAGGACTGAGCACGCCCCCATTCTCATCGACGGGGCTGTAGTGGAACAGGTTGAGAGCTTCAAGTTCCTTGGTGTCCACATCACCAACGAACTATCATGGTCCAAACACACCAAGACAGTCGTGAAGAGGGCACGACAAAGCCTATTCCCCCTCAGGAGACTGAAAAGATTTGGCATGGGTCATCAGATCCTCAAAAAATTCTACAGCTGCACCATCGAGAGCATCCTGACTGGTTGCATCACCGCCTGGTATGGCAACTGCTTGTCCTCCAACCGCAAGGCACTACAGAGGGTAGTGTGTACGGCCCAGTACATCACTGGGGCCAAGCTTCCTGCCATCCAGGACCTCTATACCAGGCGGTGTCAGAGGAAGGCCCTCAAAATTGTCAAAGACTCCAGCCACCCTAGTCATAGACTGTTCTCTCTGCTACCGCACGGCAAGCGGTACCGGAGTGCCAAGTCTAGGTCCAAAAGACTTCTCAACAGCTTCTACCCCCAAGCCATAACACTCCTGAACAGCTAATCATGGCTACCCAGACTATTTGCACTTCCCCCCCCACCCCATCTTTTTACGCTGCTGCTACTCTGTTAATTATTTATGCATAGTCACTTTAACTCTACCCACATGTACATATTACTTCAACTACCTCAACTAGCCGGTGCCCCCGCACATTGACTCTGCACCGGTACCCCCCTGTATATATAGCCTCCCTAATGTTAATTTATTTTACTTCTGCTCTTTTTTTCTCAACACTTTTTTGTTTTATTCTACTTTTTTATTAAAAATAAATGCACTGTTGGTTAAGGGCTGTAAGTAAGCATTTCACTGTAATGTCTGCACCTGTTGTATTCGGCTCATGTGGCCAATAAAATTGTATTTTATTTTATTTGAACACCCTGTGCTATTATTAGTAGTCCCAGACTATGATGGGTGGTGGTGGACGGAACCCCTATATAACGTTATAGATGGGAAAGCTCTCTCACACAGAACTAGAAAACTCAACTCACATTCACACTGGAGCTAGTCCCCTGACAGCTCTCATTCACTCAGTACGTTATAGCTCAATTTCAGTGTCTTATTATCCAAATTTCAATCAGCTTACTATCCAAGTTTCAATCTTAATAGTAATAATTTAAATCCATTTATTATTCACATTTTAATCAGCCAAATGTAAATCAGCTTAATATGTCATCTCTCACCATCATAGAAGTTTCACATCCACGTTCACTTAGTACTATTCCCAAACACGCTCGGTAATCTCCCTTATTACCCCATGTGCATCTTCAACGGTTCTCTTGTCGCTACTTCCAATACGTATAAATAACACCCCGTATTCAATAACACCTTGTGTTATTTGTAGTGGCTGCAGACCACGTAGACATTTCTTATAAATGCCTACAGACAGCTGTCAGCAGGGCTTTCCATGGTACCATTACGCCCTCGCTCTAGTCTTCTCATAAGACTAGTGAATAGCCTTCTCTCTATAAGACTGTGGGTACCTTTTTATGCGTTACTCGCCTTCATTTAATTTTTTATAATTTATTTGTATTTTTATACAAATTCATTTAAATTGACTTACTGAAATCAGTTGCCGTCCTTCAATTGTTTGCGGATGATGTGTCTCCTCCTGGGAAGCTCACAGTAAGGGTCTGGTCTGGGCGGGTCTCATCGTCTTTTGGTCAGACAGGAATTTCCCTCACGCTTCATAAAATGCGCCATTCTCAGCAGGCAGAATCAATCATCCTGTTCATTGATGCCAAATTGTAGTGAAAATTCTTACACATGGGACACTCAAAGTCAATCTTAAATTAATCATTGTTTATCAACAGTTAACTGGAGAGGTTCCAACAAACTTGATGCACCATGGTGAACATCTGTCAAGATCTCTTATATACAGACAAGTTATATTTGCATGATTTAGCTTATTGATTCATAATTAATTCATCATTAACGTTTGCGTCATTCATGTGACCGACCAATACTGGGTCATTTAAGGGATAGACAAATACCTCACGAGGCTTCTTCTCTAAGCTGAGAGCTTGAAACTGAAAACAAGTGTCTGGGCGTACTGCCAAATTGCAGATACTGATAGTGAGGGTTCGTTCAATCAGTCACTTGCATGAACACAGAAAAGCACAAACATAAAATGTTCCATCACAGTTCTTTACATTGTGATATCATATGATAATGATATGGTCATTGGTAGATGCTTTTATCTAAAGCTACTTATATTACAATTGCCAGTGATACTTACATTCAATATGTGCCCCATGTGGGAATCACTCCAACACCCTAGTTTTGACAGCACCATGATCTAACCCACATAGCTGCCTAGCTGGTTGTAAACATATGGATATAATTTATTGGTGAATTGTAAGCCATTTAGAAACCCTCCATAGATCATAATGTAGGGGTTCTACCAACCTGCCATTTGTTATTATTATTATTTTATTTGTTTACCAATCAGTTGTGGAGATATTGACCAAAAGGAGGAAGACCCAGGAAATATAATTAGAACACTAACATAAACAATAAGGTTCTGCACCTGCTAGGACACCTAATAAAATAGAACTCACATTAGGCTACATCATGCATTGCAGTGCTAGCTGTGCCACTAGAGATCCTGGTTCGAATCCAGGCTCTGTCGTAGCCTGTCGCGACCGGGAGACCCATGGGGCGGTGCACAATTGGCCCGGTGTCGTCCAAGTTAGGGGAGGGAATGGCCGGCAGGGATATAGCTCAGTTGGTAGAGCTTGGCGTTTGCAATGCCAGGGTTGTGGGTTCGATTCCCACGGGGGGCCAGTATGAAAAAATAAATAATAATAATAATAATGTATGCACACACTAACTGTAAGTCACTCTGGATAAGAGCGTCTGCTAAATGACTAAAATGTAAATCTACTTAAGAAGTTTTAGCAGCCCAGAACTACACGGGAGCATCTTGTCAATGATCTCAAGCAGCTGGGACCATTGTCACCAAGAAAACAATTGGTAACACACTACGCCATGAAGGACTGAAATCCTGCAGCGCCCGCAAGGTCCCCCTGCTAAAGAAAGCAAATATACAGGCCCGTCCGAAGTTTGCCAATGAACATCTGAATGATTCAGAGGAGAACTGGGTGAAAATGTTGTGGTCAGATGAGACCAAAATCGAGCTCTTTGGCATCAACTCAACTCGCCGTGTTTGGAGGAGGAGGAATGCTGCCTATGACCCCAAGAACACCATCCCCACCGTCAAACATGGAGGTGGAAACATTATGCTTTGGGGTGTTTTTCTGCTAAGGGGACAGGACAAATTCACTGAATCAAAGGGACGATGGACGGGGCCATGTACCGTCAAATCTTGGGTGAGAACCTCCTTCCCTCAGCCAGGGCATTGAAAATGGGTCGTGGATGGGAATTCCAGCATGACAATGACCCAAAACACACGGCCAAGGCAACAAAGGAGTGGCTCAAGAAGAAGCACATTAAGTTCCTGGAGTGGCCTAGCCAGTCTCCAGACCTTAATCCCATAGAAAATCTGTGGAGGGAGCTGAAGGTTCGAGTTGCCAAACGTCAGCCTCGAAACCTTAATGACTTGGAGAAGATCTGCAAAGAGGAGTGGCACAAAATCCCTCCTGAGATGTGTGCAAACCTGGTGGCCAACTACAAGAAACGTCTGACATCTGTGTTGCCAACAAGGGTTTTGCCACCAAGTACTAAGTCATGTTTTGCAGAGGGGTCAAATACTTATTTCCCTCATTAAAATGCAAATCAATGTATATATTTGTGTTGTTATTCTGTCTCTCACTGTTCAAATAAACATACCATTAAAATTATAGACTGAACATGTCTTTGTCAGTGGGCAAACGTAAAAAATCAGCAGGGGATCAAATACTTTTTTCCCTCACCGTATGTCTAAATGTTTTTTTTTTATTACAAAAATAAATCCATCAGTGTGACATATGTCTAGGCATATAGGCCTACAATATTTTAGTTGATGTATAAGAAATGTTTTTGCTGGTTGGTTAGTAGGGTTGGATCTCTTGTCTTGGTTGGTCCTCACATGGTATCGCTCCTCATTGCTGAGCAAGAGGAACTTGGACTGAGATCACCGGCTAGAAGAGAGAACTCACACACTCAATTAAGAGGTTATAACCGTCATGTTATAACAACATTCCATTTCTGATGATAATGCAGATGTTCTGTTTGGTATCTGGACAAATACAATATTTGAGTGATGTGAACAGGCCACTCAGCCCATTCTAGACACACCACAGGCATAGTATTGGTAGGCCTCCAACCAAACTTTGCATTTCAAGGTGATGTCTGTTCTAGGAAGTCATGGACTGCATGGGACCAGAAATTGGCGTGTGCATTTACAACTCACTGGACCATTTTCTTCCCTTGTCGTTCCTATCATGATAAAATCATGATAATCCAACGATAAAACCAACATTTAGACTGGCCCACTGGCCAATGGATCTGTCTGGCATTTGCCAGTACTGACCTATGGCCAGTCCGTTTCTGATTCTATTGGCTCCATTTCTACACTGACTCACCATTCGTGGTCCCGGGGAGCAGCAGTTGACCACCTTGCAGCAGTAGGCAGCCAGCGTGACAGAGATAGCGATGAGAGCAGTATGTATCAGGACCAACTCAGCAAGGTAATGTGCAGTAGAATCCTGTTGACAAGAATTGGAGCAATGTGTACTTTGGTTCATGTTTTTTTGCCCTTTTGTATGACAAATTTGCCTCATTACACATTTTACAAGTAATATTTGCATATAACATTTGATAGGACATTCTCAGCTCACTTTAACATCCAATATTATCATCTCAGTTTGAACATCCCCCTTCCTCCATATGCATTTACATTGAAATATTTCCAACACCTACTGACATACTGTCTGTACATACTCACAGTGACTGAAAGGCAAGTTTTGTAGTGACCAGTGTGGTTGACGTCATTGTATTCCCAGCAGCCATAATTGTGTCCTCCCATGTATGACACAGAGAAGATCAAGTTGGACACTGATGCTACACAGGCAACGACCTGCATCCCCAGACAGGCCTTCAGCTGAGACAAGAGGGAGGAGAGGAGAGCAGAGAAGAGGAGATGCCACTGGTACAGTACATATCACTTGTTTTCTCAAATAACTTGTTCGCCTACAAATTGCATAACTTACAGTGGGAAGATGGAGATTCTGTGCAGTTATGGCCAAACTCCCAGCTATGATCACCTGTAGAGAGTACAACAGTAAGAGTCACATCAACCTCACAGTCTGAACACTCAACTCTTTAATTTGCTTGTCATTTAACATCAATCAAAGGAGTAGAGGAAGAACTTGTATGGTGGGCACTCACAAACACTGATCCAATGATTTGTGGTAATTCTTCAACAAACATGCTCATGCTGTTGTTGAAAATGACAATGACAGAACTGATATTGAACACACTGAGGGCAATCTGAGTCACCTGAGGAGGAGAAGAGAGAGGTGAAGTAAAATGAGCTACGACCTCCAGGTACTTCTGTTTTTGGTGAGGATTCTTCTGAAACGTCACTGCGACAAGGGGACCCTCTACGCCGGGCATGGCCTCTTCATCTGAAAAGAGCATTTGAGTAAACTGTCTAGCAATAGACTGCTAAACCTACTGCAATACAACCCAATTGACCGAATAGATTGAAGTGTTCTCTCGGAACAGCATATTGCGCAAGATTAAACAACAGGACATTGAAGCTTTTTGCAAAAACAGATTTTTCAAATGCATGCAAATGTTCTGGTATGAGATTGAGAACTTTGGCTTCATCCCTGCTGAAAATGAGAGAGTAGGCTATTCAAAGTTGGGTTTGTTTTCCATTTGATTTCAATGCAAACATGCAGATGAGAGTCCAGATTGTCTTATTTTTGCTAACCATGCATTTCAATATTAGTTTTACCTGCCATAACTGTTGGATGCTATTAAGATCTCTGAAATCTTCGATAATCTTTAAAAAAGTCTGCTTTCGGTTCAGACTCCAGGTACTTCTGTTTTTGGTGAGGAGTCCTCTGAAGTGTGACTACGACAAGGGGATCCTCTACGCTGGGCATGGCCTCTTCATCTGATTAGAGCATTTGAGTAAACTGTCTAGCAATAGACTGCTGAACCTACTACAATACAACCCAATTGACTGAAAAGATTGAAATGTTCTTTGGGAACAGCATATTGCGCAGATTGCTGTTCACATGCAAATGTTCTGGTATGAGATTGCGTTTGTTTTTAAAGCAAACATGCAGATCAGAGTCCAGATTATCTTGTTTTTACTAACCATGCAATTAAATTATATTTGTTTTACCTGCCATAACTGTTGGATGCTATTAAGATCTCTGAAATCTTCGATAATCTTGAAAAAAGTCTGCTTTAGTCTTCCTTTGACGGAAATTCTGAGCAAAACCACCAACGCCCCTCAACTCTTTTTGTGCCCCGTTATTTTTTATCCAATCCCGCCCCCTTGTTGTCAGAGGAATTTGACCCCTCTGCAGGCTCACACACTCCTCCCCCTTAACTGTTAGATTTCCTCAGTGCCGGACAGGAAATTCTAACTGATGGTTTTGACTGGAAAATTGTTGTAGACTATGTCTGTGTTCAGAATGACACCCTAAGTTGTACACTATATAGGGTAGGGTTCCATTTCAGATGCAGCATATGTCTTACCGTCAGCTTATTCATCTAATGAGGCAGGTTGATAGGAGTCAGAGTCAGGGTGTTGTTGCCCTGTACAACCAACTGATAAAGAACTGAGGACTGATAAACTACAGTCAACTGGTGCCCTAGGTTTATTTTCCTACACTCCATGATCATCAACCAACACATTATTTCTCTGAGAGGAGACATCAAATGAAGGTACTGTAATTTCCTCTACAGCTGTAGACACACCGGCAGAGCAAAGTTCCAGACAAGCTTCAGAAAACCAGGAAGTCAAGTCTTACTCATTTACCTAATTTGCTCTTTGATTGGAACAAATAAAAGCTAATACAACAATAGCATGTCCACCATTGTTCCATCAATCCTTTTACATTGTTGTTTTTATGTTTCGTTTGACAAGGTTATGCATTTAAATACATTTTCTAGACAGCAAATTGTTTAGGATGTGTGACAGAATGCAAGGTTTTGCACACCCCAGCTCTTAGATCATTCCGCTGAGACTATTTTACTCTGGTGTGAAGCACAAAAATCACTGGCTGTATAGTAGCAGTTTGGAGAATTAAAGTAGCATTTTAGGATATTTAAAGTAGCATGTTAGGATAATTAAAGTAGAAGGTTAGGAAAATTGAAGTAGCACGTTAGGAGAATTAGGTTAAGGTTGGAAAAAGGGTTAGGCTTAGCTAAAATTCTGTATACTCTAGCCACAACCGCAGAAGCCATCAGTTCAAAGAAACCATCAGTGTCACCACACCGGGAGCCTCTTGTGGATTTGACAGGTCTAAAGCGGTTCCACCTCCGACACTGTCAAAACACCAGCTATGCGGGTGTTGGCTAGCCGAATCTGATTGAATCGAGTCCTCAATCATATAATCACTATAATATTGTGTCTGTTTATTCAGCTCTTGGATTTCATTCATCTCTTTAGGCTTTGCATAAGGCTTTGTAGCTGTACTCTTGCCCCTGTATCTCTTACCTCTGAACCTTGCTCATAACACTATCGTTATCCATTTACCATTACTCCAAATCTACCATCTAAAAATCGATTTCCAGTGCTGCATTAGCCACAAAGGAGCAGCACTGTAATACAAATTGAACCTCTTGGCCCGTATTCATAAAGCGTCTCAGAGTGGGAGAGCTGATCTAGGATCTGGTCCCCCCTGTCCATGTAATCTTATATTAATTATGATCTAAAATGCAAAACTGACTCTAGATCATTAGTCCTACTTTGAGACGCGTTATGAATGCGCTGTCATTGAAGAGAAACAATAGATTAACTTCTGTTAATGTTCCAGCCACTACTTTATCACTTTTCATGCACATTGAAATATTGGTAATGATATTGAATTGTGTTCTTTACATTGTGATATCATATGATAATGATATGGTAATTGGTAGATGCTTTTATCTAAAGCGACTTATAACAATCGGTTGTGGAGAAATTGACCAAAAATAAGGAAGACCCAGGAAATATAATAAGAACACTAACAAAACAATATGGTTCCTGCACCTGCTAGGACCCCTAATAAAATGTAACTCACATTAGGCTACATCATGTCAAACAGTTTTTAATTACAAAAATAAATCCATCAGCGTGACTTACACTGAGTGCACAAAACATTATGAACTGTTCGTTCCATGACATATACTGACCAGGTGAATCCAGTTGAAAGCATTGATCCCTTATTGAGGTCACTTGTTAAATCCACTTAAATCAGTGTAGATGAAGGGGAGGAGACAGGTTCAAGAAGGATTTTTAAGCCTTGAGACGATTGAGACATGGATTGTGTATGTGTGCCGTTCAGAGGGTGAGTGGGCAAGACAAAAGATTTAAGTACCTTTGAACGGGATATGGTAGTAGGTGCCAGGCGCACCGGTTTGTGTCAAGAACTGCAGAGATTGAGAACTTTGGCTTCATCCCTGCTGAAAATGAGAGAGTAGGCTATTCAAAGTTGGGTTTGTTTTCAATTTATTTTCAATGCAAACATGCAGATGAGAGTCCAGATTATCTTATGTTTGCTAACCATGCAATTCAATGATATTTGTTTTACCTGCCGTAACTGTTGGATGTTATTAAGATCTCTAAAATCTTTGATACTCTTTAAAATAGTCAACTTTTGACTTCCTTGATGGAAATTCTGAGCAAAACCATCAACGCCCCTAAACTCTTTGTGTGCCCTGTTATTTTTTATCAAATCCCGCCCCCTTGTTGTCAGAGGAATTTGACCCATCTGCAGGCTCACACACTCCTCCCCCTTAACTGTAACTAGAAACTTGTTGTAGACTATGACTGTGTTTAGAATGACACCCTAAGTAGTACACTATATAGGGAAAAGGGTGCCATTTCAGACGCATCATATGTCTTACCCTCAGCTTATCCATCTAATGAGGCAGGTTGATAGGAGTCAGAGTCAGGTTGTTGTTGTTCTGTAGAACCAACTCATGAAAAACAGAGGACTGGTAAACTACAGTCAACTCCATGATCATCCACCAACACATTATTTCTCTGAGAGGAGACATTAAATGAAGGTACTGTAATTTCATCTATGGCTGTAGACACACCGGCAGAGCAAAGTCTCAGAAAACCAGGAAGTCAAGACTTACCCATCAACCTCTTTAATTGGAACAAATAAAAGCTAATATCATCAACAATAACATGTCCACCATTGTCCCATCAATCCTATTACCTTGTTGTTTTCATGTTTCATTTGACCAGGTTATGCATTACCATACATTTTCTAGGCAGCAAATTGTTTAGGATGTGTGACAGAAAGCATGCAAGGTTTTGCACACCCCAGCTCTTAGATCATTGAGCTGGGGCTATGTTACTCTGGTGTGAAGCACAAAAATCACTGGCTGTAAAGTAGAAGTTAGAAGAATTAAAGTAGCAGTTTAGGAGAATTAGGTTAAGGTTTGGAAAAGGGTTAGGCTTAGCTAAAATGCTGTACTCTAGCCACATCCGTAGAAGCCATCAGTTCCGAGAAATAATCAGTGTCACCACACCGAGAGCCGCTTGTGGATTTGACAGGTCTAACCCTTTTCCACTTCCGACAGCGTGAAAACACCAGCTATGCGGGTGTCAGCTAGCGTAAATCAAATTGAATCGAGCTCTCAATCATATAATAATAGTCATATTGTGTCAGTTTATTCAGTTCTATGATTTAATTGAACTCTTTAGGCTTTGGATAAAACTTGTAGCTGTACCCTTGCCCCTCTGCCTCTTACCTCTATCCCTTGCTCATAACATTATAGTTATCCATTACTCCAAATCTACCATCTACAAATTGATATCTAGTGCTGCGTTATCCACAAAGGGTGGCATTGTAATACAAATTGAACCTCTGGGCCATTATTCATAAAGCGTCTCAGTGGGAGAGCTGATCTAGGATCAGGTTCCCACTGTCCATGTAATCTGATATTCATTATGATAAAAGGCTCAATTGATCCTACATCATTAGTCCTACTCTGAGTCGCTTCATGAATGTGGGCCCATTGATAATGTTGTGATCTCACTGCAGCCAGGTCACCTGTTATACGAGTCAGTATTCGACGTCCATCTCTGTCTAAGGACGTCAGGAGGTGACTTGGAAACCGGCCACTATGGGCAACAGTGAGCGCTGTTACATTCAAGTAGGCTTCTGTTTTGCTAGGGGATGGGCGTAAGCATCTGACTCTGATTCCATAGGTTGCAAGTTCAAATCAAGTGTTTTAAGCCTATCCCAATCCTTAAACCTTACCTTAACCATTCTGAGTTAATGCCTAACCTTAAGATTTTGGATTTAATGACTAAACTTAACATTAAACACTTTGAAATTTGAGGTTTGCAACAACGTCAAAAAAGTGATGTTTGAGGAATATGGATGAACGTCAAATTCTGACGTGAGACAGTGAGAGCTAGTTGCTCACAGAATAGAAACAATAGAATAACTTTCATGTTCCAGCCACTACTACTTTGTCATTGTTCATGCACATTGAAATAATGGGAATGATATTGAATTGGGTTCTTTCCACTGTGATACCACATGATAATGATATGGTCATTGGTAGAAACTTTTATCTAAAGTGACTCAAATTACAGTTGCCAGTGATACTTACATTCAGTATGTGGCACATGTGGGAATCACTCCAACCCCCTGGTGTTGACAGCACCATGCTCTAACCCACATAGCCGACGAGCCAGTAGTAAACCTATGTATATTCTTTATTGGTGAATAGTAAGCCATTTAGAAACCGTCCATATATCATAATATAAGGGTTCTTCCAACCTGACATTTATTTATTTTTTTATTTTATTTTTTTTACAACTTTTTACCAATTGGTTGTGGAGATATTGACCAAAAGGAGGAAGACCCAGGAAATATAATGACAACAGTAACAAAACAATATAGTTCCTGCACCTGCTAGGACCTCTAATAAAATGGAACTCACATTAGGCTACATCATGTCAAGCAGTTTTTAACTACAAACATAAATCCATCAGCGTGACTTACACTGAGTGCACAAAACATTATGAACTGTTCGTTCCATGACATATACTGACTAGGTGAATCCAGTTGAAAGCATTGATCCCATATTGATGTCACTTGTTAAATCCACTTAAATCAGTGTAGATGAAGGAGAGGAGACAGGTTGAAGAAGGATTTTTAAGTTTTGAGACTATTGAGACATGGATTGTGTATGTGTGCCGTTCAGAGGGTGAGTGGGCAAGACAAAAGATTTAAGTACCTTTGAACGGGATATGGTAGTAGGTGCCAGGCGCACTGGTTTGTGTCAAGACCTGCAGCGCTGCTGGGTTTTTCACACTTAACAGTTTCCCGTGTATATCAAGAACGGTCCACCATCCAAAGGACATCCAGCCATCTTGACATAACTGTGGGAAGCACAGTGTTCTTAATGTTTTGTACACTCAGTGTATGTGTAGGAATATAGGCCTAAAATATTTGCTGGTTGGTTAGGGGGTTGGATCTCTTGTCTTGGTTGGTCCTCACATGGTATCGCTCCTCATTGCTGAGCAGGAGGGACTTGGACTGTGATCACCGGCTAGAAGAGAGAACTCACACACTCAATTAAGAGGTTATAACCGTCATGTTATAACAACATTCCATTTCTGATGATAATGCAGATGTTCTGTTTGGTATCTGGACAAATACAATATTTGAATGATGAGAACACGCCACTCAGCCCATTCTAGACACACCACAGGCATAGTATTGGTAGGCCTCCAACCAAACTTTGCATTTCAAGGTGTTGTCTGTTCTAGGAAGTCATGGACTGCATGGGACCAGAAATCGGCATGTGCATTTACAACTCACTGGACCATTTTCTTTCCCTTGTCGTTCCTATCATAAGCCAAATCATGATAATTCAACGATAAAACCAAAATTTAGACTGGCCCACAGGCCAATGGATCTGTCTGGCATTTGCCAGTACTGACCTATGGCCAGTCCGTTTCTGATTCTATTGGCTCCATTTCTACACTGACTCACCATTCGTGGTCCCGGGGAGCAGCAGTTGACCACCTTGCAGCAGTAGGCAGCCAGCGTGACAGAGATAGCGATGAGAGCAGTATGTATCAGGACCAACTCAGCAAAGTAATGTGCAGTAGAATCCTGTTGACAAGAAATGGAGCAATGTGTACTTTGTTTCATGTTTTTTCCTATTGTATGACGTATTTGCATGAAATATTTGATAGGATATTCTTAAACTCAGCCCACTTTAACATCTAATGTGAGCATCCCAGTTTGAACATCCCCTTTCTCCACATCCATTTACATTGAATTATATCCAACACATACTGACATACTGTCTGTACATACTCACTTTGAATGAATAGCAAGTATTGTCGTGATCAGTGCTGTTGATTTCAACGTATTTCCAGCAGCCATAACCATATTTGTGTCCAGCCATGTTTGACACAGAGAAGATCAAGTTGAACACTGATGCTACACAGGCAACTACCTGCATCCCCAGACAGGCCTTCAGCTGAGACAGAGGGAGGAGAGGAGAGCAGAGAAGAGGAGATGCCACTGGTACAGTATATATCACTTGTTTTCTCAAAGAACTTGTACGCCTACAAATTGCATAACTTACAGTGGGAAGATGGAGATGTTGTGCAGCTATGGCCAAACTCCCAGCTATGATCACCTGTAGAGAGTACAACAGTAAAAGTCATGTTAACCTCTAAACACTCAACTCTTTCATTTTCTTGTAATTTAACATCAGTCAAGTGAGTACAGGGGGCACATGTATGATGGTCACTCACAAACACTGATCCAATGATTTGGGATAAGTCTTCAACAAAAATGCTCATGCTGTTGTTGAAAATGACAATGACAGAACTGATATTGAACACACTGAGGGCAATCTGAGTCACCTGAGGAGGAGAAGAGAGAGAGAGATAAAGTACAATGAGCTACAGATTAAATAACATTAAATTACATTTCATAGATTATAATACATTATAGTGACATTTAAATGGATTGCCAGACTACACTTTTATTTGCTCAGGATGATTTACCCCCAATGCTTTCGGTTCAGACTCCAGGTACTTCTGTTTTTGGTGAGGAGTCCTCTGAAATGTGACTGTGACAAGGGGACCCTCTACGCCGGGCATGGCCTCTTCATCTGATAAGAGCATTTGAGTAAACTGTCTAGCAATAGACTGCTGAACCTACTGTAATACAACCCAATTGACTGAAAATATTGAAATGATCACATGCAAATGTTCTGGTATGAGATTGCGTTTGTTTTTAAAGCAAACATGCAGATCAGAGTCCAGATTATCTTGTTTTTACTAACCATGCAATTCAATTATATTTGTTTTACCTGCCATAACAGTTGGATGCTATTAAGATCTCTGAAATCTTCGATAATCTTAAAAATAGTCTGCTTTAGACTTCCTTTGACGGAAATTCTGAGCAAAACCACCAACGCCCCTCAACTCTTTTTGTGCCCCGTAATTTTTTATCCAATCCCGCCCCCTTGTCGTCAGAGGAATTTGACCCCTCTGCAGTCTTACACACTCCTCCCCCTTAACTGTTAGATTTCCTCAGTGCAGGACAGGAAATTCTAACTGATGGTTTTGACTGGCAAAGTGTTGTAGACTATTACTGTGTTTGAAATGACACCCTAAGTAGTACACTATATAGGGTAGGGTGCCATTTCAGATGCAGCATATGTCTTACCCTCAGCTTATTCATCTAATGAGGCAGGTTGATAGGAGTCAGAGTCAGGGTGTTGTTGCCCTGTACAACCAACTGATAAAGAACTGAGGACTGATAAACTACAGTCAACTGGTGCCCTAGGTTTATTTTCCTACAACTCCATGATCAACCACCAACACATTGTTTCTCTGAAAGGAGCCATTAAATGAAGGTACTGTAATTTCCTCTACAGCTGTAGACACACTGGCAGATTAAAGTTCCAGACAAGCCTCAGAAAACCAGGAAGTCAAGTCTTACTCATTTACCTAATTTGCTCTTTGATTGGAACAAATAAAAGCTAATATAACAATAGCGTGTCCACCATTGTCCCATCAATCCTTTTACATTGTTGTTTTTATGTTTCGTTTGACAAGGTTATGCATTTTAATACATTTTCTAGACAGCAAATTATTTAGGATCTGTGATAGAATGCAAGGTTTTGCACACCCCAGCTCTTAGATCATTGCGCTGAGACTATTTTACTCTGGTGTGAAGCACAAAAATCACTGGCTGTATAGTAGCAGTTTGGAGAATTAATGTAGCATTTTAGGAGAATTAAAGTAGCAGGTTAGAATAATTAAAATTGAAGGTTAGGAAAATTGAAGTAGCACGTTAGGAGAATTAGGTTAAGGTTGGGAAAAGGGTTAGGCTTAGCTAAAATCTGTATTCTCTAGCCACCACTGCAGAAGCCATCAGTTCAAAGAAACCATCAGTGTCACCACACCGGGAGCCTCTTGTGGATTTGACAGGTCTAAAGCGGTTCCACCTCCGACACCATCAAAACACCAGCTATGTGGGTTAGCCGAATCTGATTGAATCGAGTCCTCAATCATATAATCACTGTAATATTGTGTCTGTTTATTCAGCTCTTGGATTTCATTCAGCTCTTTAGGCTTTGCATAAGGCTTTGTAGCTGTACCCTTGCCCCTGTACCTCTTACCTCTAACCTTTGCTCATAACACTTTCATTATCCATTTACCATTACTCCAAATCTACCATCTAAAAATTGATTAGAAGAAATGGGCACTTCATATCTAGCAGCATTTTAGTGCTGCATTAGCCACAAAGGGGCAGCATTGTAATACAAATTGAACCTCTTGGCCAATATTCATAAAGCGTCTCAGAGTGGGAGAGCTGATCTAGGATCTGGTCCCCCCTGTCCATGTAATCTTATATTAATTATGATCTAAAATGCAAAACTGACTCTAGATCATTAGTCCTACTTTGAGACGCGTTATGAATGTGTTGTCATTGAAGAGAAACAATAGATTAACTTATGTTAATGTTCCAGCCACTACTTTATCACTTTTCATGCACATTGAAAAAAATTGTAATGATATTGAATTGTGTTCTTTACATTGTGATATCATATGATAATGATATGGTCATTGGTAGATGCTTTTATCTAAAGCTACTTTTATCTTTTATCTAAAGCTACTTATATTAGTATGTGGTCCATGTGGGAATCAACTCCAACCTCTTGGTGTTGCCAGCACCATGCTTTAACCCACATAGCCGCTTGGCCGGTTGTAAACCTATTTATTGGTGAGTTGTAAGCCATTAATAAACCCTCCCTAGATCAAAATGTAGGGGTTCTCCATCCTCCCATTTGTTACTATTTTATATATATTTTTGTACAACTTTTTACCAATCGGTTGTGGAGAAATTGACCAAAATGAGGAAGACCCAGGAAATATAATAAGAACACTAACAAAACAATATGGTTCCTGCACCTGCTAGGACCCCTAATAAAATGTAACTCACATTAGGCTACATCATGCCAAACAGTTTTTAATTACAAAATTAAATCCATCAGCGTGACTTACACTGAATGCACAAAACATTATGAACTGCTCGTTCCATGACATATACTGACTAGGTGAATCCAGTTGAAAGCATTGACCCCTTATTGATGTCACTTGTTAAATCCATTTCAATCAGTGTAGATGAAGGGGAGGAGACAGGTTGAAGAAGGATTTTTAAGCCTTGAGACTATTGAGACATGGATTGTGTATGTGTGCCATTCAGAGGGTGAGTGGGCAAGACAAAATATTTAAGTGCCTCTGAACAGGGGTATGGTAGTAGTTGTTAGGTGCACCGGTTTGTGTCAAGAACTGCAGCGCTGCTGGGTTTTTCACACTTAACAGTTTCCCGTGTATATCAAGAACGGTCCACCATCCAAAGGACATCCAGCCATCTTGACATAACTGTGGGAAGCACAGTGTTCTTAATGTGTTGTACACTCAGTGTATGTGTAGGAATATAGGCCTAAAATATTTTTGTTGACGGAAGTATAAGACATGTTTTTTGCTGGTTGGTTAAGGGGTTGGATCTCTTGTCTTGGTTGGTCCTCACATGGTATCGCTCCTCATTGCTGAGCAGGAGGGACTTGGACTGTGATCACCGGCTAGAAGAGAGAACTCACACACTCAATTAAGAGGTTATAACCGTCATGTTATAACAACATTCCATTTCTGATGATAATGCAGATGTTCTGTTTGGTATCTGGACAAATACAATATTTGAATGATGTGAACAGGCCACTCAGCCCATTCTAGACACACCACAGGCATAGTATTGGTAGGCCTCCAACCAAACTTTGCATTTCAAGGTGATGTCTATTCTAGGCAGGATGTCCTGCATGGGACCAGAAATTGGCGTGGGCATTTCTAACTCACTGGACCATTTCCTTTCCCTTGTCATTCCCATCATAATCCAATTCATGATAATTCTGCAATAAATCCCCAATTTAGACTGGCCCACTGGCCAATGGATCCGTGACTGGCCCACTGGCCAATGGATCCGTCTGGTGTTTGCCAAAACTGACCTATGGCCAGTCCATTTCTGATTCTAGAGGATCCATTTCTACACTGACTCACCATTCGTGGTCCCGGGGAGCAGCAGTTGACCACCTTGCAGCAATAGGCAGCCAGCGTGACAGAGATAGCGATGAGAGCAGTATGTATCAGGACCAACTCAGCAAAGTAATGTTCAGCAGAATCCTGTTGACAAGAATTGGAGCAATGTGTACTTTGGTTCATGTTTTTTTCCCCTATTGTATGAAATATTTGCCTCATTACACATTTTACAAGTAATATTTGCATATAACATTTGATAGGACATTCTCAGCTCACTTTAACATCCAATATTATCATCTCAGTTTGAACATCCCCCTTCCTCCATATGCATTTACATTGAAATATTTCCAACACCTACTGACATACTGTCTGTACATACTCACAGTGACTGAAAGGCAAGTTTTGTAGTGACCAGTGTGGTTGACGTCATTGTATTCCCAGCAGCCATAATTGTGTCCTCCCATGTATGACACAGAGAAGATCAAGTTGGACACTGATGCTACACAGGCAACGACCTGCATCCCCAGACAGGCCTTCAGCTGAGACAAGAGGGAGGAGAGGAGAGCAGAGAAGAGAAGAGGAGATGCCACTGGTACAGTATATATCACTTGTTTTCTCAAATAACTTGTTTGCCTACAAATTGCATAACTTACAGTGGGAAGATGGAGATTCTGTGCAGTTATGGCCAAACTCCCAGCTATGATCACCTGTAGGGAGTACAACAGTAAGAGTCACATCAACCTCACAGTCTGAACACTCAACTCTTTAATTTGCTTGTCATTTAACATCAATCAAAGGAGTAGAGGAAGAACTTGTATGGTTGGCACTCACAAACACTGATCCAATGATATGTGGTAATTCTTCAACCAACATGCTCATGCTGTTGGTAAGAATGACAATGACAGAACTGATATGGAACACACTGAGGGCAATCTGAGTCACCTGAGGAGGGGAAGAGAGAGGTGAAGTAAAATGAGCTACAGACTGTCAGACTACACTTCATGTATTTGCTCAGGATGATTTACCCCCAATGCTTTCGGTTCAGACTCCAGGTACTTCTGTTTTTGGTGAGGATTCTTCTGAAACGTCACTGCGACAAGGGGACCCTCTACGCCGGGCATGGCCTCTTCATCTGATAAGAGCATTTGAGTAAGCTGTGTAGCATTAAACTGCTGAACCTACTGCAATACAACCCAATTGACCAAATAGATTGAAGTGTTCTCTCGGAACAGCATATTGCGCAAGATTAAACAACAGGACATTGAAGCTTTTTGCAAAAACAGATTTCTCAAATGCATGCAAATGTTCTGGTTTGAGATTGAGATCTTTGGCTTCATTCCTGCTGAAAATGAGAGAGTAGGCTATTCAAAGTTGGGTTTGTTTTCCATTTGATTTCAATGCAAACATGCAGATGAGAGTCCAGATTGTCTTATTTTTGCTAACCATGCATTTCAATATTAGTTTTACCTGCCATAACTGTTGGATGCTATTAAGATCTCTGAAATCTTCGATAATCTTTAAAATAGTCTGCTTTCGGTTCAGACTCCAGGTACCTCTGTTTTTGGTGAGGAGTCCTCTGAAGTGTGACTGCGACAAGGGGACCCTCTACGCTGGGCATGGCCTCTTCGTCTGATAAGAGCATTTGAGTATGCTGTCTAGCAATAGACTGCTGAACCTATTGCAATACAACCCAATTGACTGAAAAGATTGAAATGTTCTTTGGGAACAGCATATTGCGCAGATTGCTGTTCACATGCAAATGTTCTGGTATGAGATTGCGTTTGTTTTTAAAGCAAACATGCAGATCAGAGTCCAGATTATCTTGTTTTTACTAACCATGCAATTCAATTATATTTGTTTTACCTGCCATAACTGTTGGATGCTATTAAGATCTCTGAAATCTTCGATAATCTTTAAAAAAGTCTGCTTTAGTCTTCCTTTGACGGAAATTCTGAGCAAAACCACCAACGCCCCTCAATTCTTTTTGTGCCCCGTTATTTTTTATCCAATCCCGCCCCTTGTTGTCAGAGGAATTTGACCCCTCTGCAGTCTCACACACTCCTCCCCCTTAACTGTTACATTCCCTCAGTGCAGGACAGGAAATTCTAACTGATGGTTTTGACTGGCAAAGTGTTGTAGACTATGTCTGTGTTCAGAATGATACCCTAAGTAGTACACTATATAGGGTAGGGTGCCATTTCAGATGCAGCATATGTCTTACCCTCAGCTTATTCATCTAATGAGGCAGGTTGATAGGAGTCAGAATCAGGTTGTTGTTGCCCTGTACAACCTACTGATAAAGAACTGAGGACTGATAAACTACAGTCAACTGGTGCCCTAGATTTATTTTCCTCAACTCCATGATCATCAACCAACACATTATTTATCTGAGAAGTGTCGCGTTCGTTCATAAACGGGTCAGACCAAGGCGCAGCGTGATATGCATACATGTTTATTTGAACCGAATAAACAACGACAAAACAACAAACGAAACGTGAAGTCCAAGGTACACAAACAACATACCTCACACGGAACAAGATCCCACAACCCACTAGTGCCAATAAGCTGCCTAAGTATGGTCCCCAATCAGAGACAACGAGCGACAGCTGCCTCTGATTGGGAACCACACCGGCCAACATAGATCTAGACATACTAGATCTAAACATAGAAAATACAATATAGAAAATCACAACAAGGAATATACACACCCTGACTCAACATATAAGCGTCCTCTGAGTCAGGGCATGACAAGAAGAGACATTAAATGAAGGTCCTGTATTTTCCTTTACAGCTGTACCAGCAGAGCAAAGTTTCAGATAAGGCTCAGAAAACCAGGAATCAGGTCTTACCCATCTAACTATTTTGCGCTTTGATTGGCACAAAAAAAAGCTAATATCATCAACAATAACATGTCCACCATTGTCCCATCAATCCCATTACCTTGTTGTTTTCATGTTTCATTTGACCAGGTTATGCATTTCAATACATTTTCTAGGCAGCAAATTGTTTAGGATGTGTGACAGAAAGTGTAAGGTTCTGTATTTATTTTCTTAGTCATCCTTGTGTTCTTGAACGTAGCCCTGTTTCTTTGTGTTCTTGAACGTAGCCCTGTCTTTCATTTTTGTTCATTGATTTTACCTGTGTTAGTTTCTCACCTGGTCTCGTCAGCTCCTTATTTAGTTCAATTCATTCTGTTTGTGCCTTGTGAGTTATTGTTCGTTTTGACTCTACTAAGCCTTTTCCTAGCTCGCTTGTGTGAACCAGTTATAGCCTTCAGACCTAGTTTTTGATTCTCCTGCTTGTTTGCCTACCTGTGTATGACATTGCCTGCCTGTGACCATGATTCCTGCCTTCTGCGAAGGCGAAATAAACACCTGCCGCGCTCTGCACGTGAATCTACACCTCTTTCTCCCTGAGTATTCATTACAGAATACCTCACCTATATAACGGAATGGTTTCAGCGGAGCTACAGCGCCTAACCCAGCAAGAGGAGTGTATGGAGGAAATCTGCCATCTTCTCCGGCAGCCTATCCCTACTCCTCCGATGCCAGGTATTGTAACCCATAGCCCTCCTTCATTCATATCCTGGATTGGGCCACCGCCATATGAATTGCCAACAGCACAGAACTCGGATCCGAGACCCTTTTCCACACCCTATTCAAAGTGGTATTCGATCACTCTCCTTCGGGTTTTCCTATAGGAGACCTCCTCATAGAACTTCAACAAGGACACAATTCAGCTGCCGAGTATGCCCTCGAGTTCCGCACCATTGCTGCAGGGAGTGGATGGAGTGAGGCTGCTTTACTTACCGTCTACTGAAGAGGGCTCAACAGGGAACTTCAGGCGGAGCTGGCCTGTAGAGGTCACCTTCAGGGTTTAAATCAATACATTCGTATGTCCATCTCCATTGACCACCTCATCGCCGACTGTCGAAGAACTCTGCCACCCAGGAACCTGAAACCTTCTCTTTACATGATTCCGTCATCCCATCCGAGTCTTCCAGAGCCCATGCAGTTGGGCCATGCTCCTCTCCAGTGTATCGAATGTCAAAGGCGGATCCAAGAAGGGCTCTGCCTATACTGTGGAGGGAAAGATCATCTACTCAGCCATTTCCCTGTTCGCCCCCCACGGAGAGATGAGAAGTGTCCCTCTGCTGCCATGCAGGTAGGCGTGTCCTTATTTCTAAATATCTCCCAGAAGCAATTCTCCATCCCAGTATTGATGACTGCGATGGGGGTTACTAAGTATGTAGAGGGCTTGATAGATTCGGGAGCAGCAGGTAATTTTATCAATCACCAGCTAGTACAAGAGCATGACATTGATCTAACACCTGTCACCCTTCCCTTAAAGATTAACACCCTGGACGGGCAGCCATTGGGCACCGGCTTCATTACGCACCTGACACAGAGCGTCACCCTCCAAATTGGAGTCTTCCACACAGAAACCATTCAACTCAAGGAACTCTCATCCCCCAAACAACCACTCATCCTCGGACACCCCTGGCTTTGTCGTCACAGCCCTGCCATCTCGTGGCAACAAGGTGAACTACTGTCCTGGTCTTCTACCTGCTTCACCAGTTGTCTCAGCCTACCATGCAGAGCTACCACCATTGAGGACTCTGCCTCTGTAGTGCCACCTACCATACCATCTAAATACGCCCAGTACAGCAATGTCTATAGCAAAATCAAGGCCTCCACTCTGCCACCACATCGCCCAGGGGACTATGCTATTGACTTACTCCCTGGAGTTTCCCCACCTAAGGGCCGTGTTTACCCCCTATATACATCTGGAAAATGAGGCAATGGAGAACTACATTGATGAAGGACTCAAACGGTTTCATTCGTCCTTCTTCTTTCCCGGCTGCATCCAGCTTCTTCTTCGTTGGAAAAAAGGATGGTGGTCTCCGGCCATGTATTGATTACCGTTCCCTGAATGACGTCACGGTCAAGAACCGTTTCCCTCTTCCTCTGATCCCAGTGACCATTGAATAAGTGGGCCGCGCCAACATCTATACAAAACTCGACCTGCAAAGTGCATATAACCTTGTCCGTATACGTGAAGGCGACGAATGGAAGACGGCACTACGAATACCTGGTCATGCCCTACGGCCTTACTAACGCCCCCGCCATCTTCCAATCCTTTATGAACAAGGTTTTCCAGGATATGATCAACTGCTTTCTCAGTATCTATATTGATGACATCCTGATTTACTCCCACTCCCTTAAGGAACAACATACAGCATGTACAAAAGGTTATTCAACGGCTCCTTGACTATAACCTTTATGTGAAGACTGAAAAGAGCACCTTCCATGTAACCTCAGTAAACTTCCTCGGTTTCGTACTGACACCTGGAGGGGTCAGCATGGATGAGAACAAAGTCACCGCCATCAGTAACTGGCCCAAACCCACCACCGTTAAGGAACTCCAACGTTTCATTGGGTTCTCCAACTTCTATCGCCCGTTCATTCGGAACTTCAGTTCTACTGCCGCTCCTCTCACTGCCCTTACCAGCCAAAAGACCCGGACCCTTCAATGGACTGATACCGCCCTGACTGCTTTCAACAACTTGAAACGCCTCTTCACCTCAGCTCCTATCCTTCACCAACCTGATCCGACCCTTCCTTTCTCCCTGGAGGTGGATGCCTCCGAAGTAGGAGTAGGAGCCATGCTCTCTCAGCGGGTTGGAACACCTCCCAAATCACATCCCTGTGCCTTCTTCTCCAGGAAGTTATCAGACGCTGAGAGGAATTATGATGTGGGGAACAGAGAACTCCTCACCATCAAGCTGGCCCTCGAGGAGTGGCGCCACTGGTAGGAGGGCGCACAACATCCCTTTCTCATCCTAACAGATCATCGTATTCTGGAATATATCAGAGGGGCCAATAGGTTAAACTCCAGACAAGCCCGCTGGGCTCTCTTCTTCACATGCTTCCATTTTCAAGTTACTTACATCCCTGGAAAGAAAAACGTAAAAGCTGATGCTCTCTTCTGCCAGTTTGTCCTTCCGACCAGTAACTCAGACCCTACACCCATTCTTCCTTCCTCTTGCATTATGGGACCGGTACAGTGGGAGGTTCACTCTGCAATGCAAGAAGCCCTAACCTCAGACCCGGCTCCTCCTGAGACACCAGCTGGGAAGATTACG